CCTGTTTGAGATTTGTTTTGTTTTGGTGAAAATATATTTGTAAGAAAATAATTTGTAACCATTGACTTCCACTGTATTATTGTTCCTACTAGAAAAATAAATGGAAGTAAATGGTTACAGATTTTAGATTTCTTCAAAACATCTTAGTTTGTGCATTTTAGTGCACTCAGCAGACTATTTAATTTCCTCACTGGATCAGTTTATGTTCATATTCATATTCAATATCCATCAAAAAGGATGATCAAATCTTGGTGAAAATATAAACTGGGGGCTCATCCGGGATTTAAAGGGATAGTTCCCTCAAAAATGACATATCTGTCATCATTCATTTGTTATGTACATGTTTGAGATTTTTTTTGCTCTGATGAAGACAAAAGAACATATTTGGAAGAAAGCTGAAAACCTGTATCCATTGACTTCCATTTATTTTCCTAGAAGAAGAAGAATAATAAAGTGGAAGTCAACAGTTACAGGATTTAAAATTTCTTGAAATTATCTTAGTTTGTGCATTTGGCAGAGTTTTTTGTTTTGGTCAATAGATAAGTTCATGTTCATATTCATATTCAATATCCCTCAAAAAGAAAAAAGGGTTTTATATTCTTGGTCAAATCTTGGTGATAATATAAACTGGGGGCTCGTCCGGGAGTTAAAGGAATGGTTTGGCCAAAAATGACATTTCAGCTTAAAGTTGTGTTGCGCCATCTAACGCCAAGGAGTGATGTTGCATACTTTTCTGCTCGACGCCAGTGAAAATAGCTTGGGTTTGAATCCGGAAAAAATGTCTCTAAAAACACAAACGAAAATCATCCTGGTGTGTACGAGACTTAAGAGTGAGTAAATAGTAATTAAATAGTTATTACTGGGTGTACTACCCCTTTAACTGTTCACATAATTATGCACTATTTTATGCGGGATTTAAGTATAAACAAGGCATATAAGTTAACACATTTGGCTGACACTTTTATTTATGGAAAAATCCGTATTTACATTAACCTTAGATGCAATTGAACCAATGGAGGAAGATTCGTAAGACAGCTGTGGTTTAGATTTATTAGCTCACCAGTGATTATTCTAGTTTTATCTGTTTTATATTTTTTCTTTTTTTTCTTGCCAGGAAATTTTATCTATTTTCTTGGTCACAACATAAACTGGGGGCTCGTCCGGGATTAAACTGTCCAATTCACATACTTATGCACAATTTCGAGCTTCATCTTAGTTTAAACAATGCATAATCTTTAGTGCATTTGCCAGACGTGGCAATGTTACACAATCTCCGTATTTAAGTTCATGTTTCATGTGATCGAACGAATAAACAAGAGTAATTTTGTTTAATCATAATGCACAGAAATGCACTTTAGCCCCCAGGAGTTTTAATGAAGATCCATGAGAAAGATTTTGTAAGGAAGATTTAAAAGACAGTTGTGATTTAAAGGCCACATAGTTTACCCCGTTTTTTATGATTTAATATTAGTATTAAGGTTCTTCTGAGTGTGTCAGTTTAGGTTCAGTTCAACACACAGTTCAGATTTTTATTATAATGTGTTATTTTGGGGGCGTGTACACGGTTTGCTGTTTTAGGGGTGTGTAGCTTCACATGAAAATTAGTTTCAAATTCCTGCTCAACGTATCTAGGGGGCGGAGCCAAGAGCTCACCCGCTCTGTGTTTGGCAGCCAACAGGCATACAGAAACGCTGCATGAGAGGAGCAGCATTCAGCCGTACATGTACGCCTCTGCCACAGACCAAGCAGAGAGTACACAATCATTTGTGTCTTTGAATAGTTTCTCAGCCAACTGTGTGCTAGTTTAAAGTGCCGAGCTTGTACACAGACTAATAACCACGCACACTGAATTAACTTAGACTGAGGCACCCGATGACCCGCTTAGAGCCGCGACATGGCACACCAAGCACACACATTCGCATGTTCAGATGGCACTTTGGTAGAGATCTACGCGGGATTAAATATTGAATCCCAACAGGTTCTAGCCCGAATCCGACTGCTCCCGCTTATATTCAGCATTTGTTGTCCTGCTACCCGCCGCGCCCATTCCTGCTAACGAGCGGGGGGAGAACAAAACCGAAAACCACCCAGCTATACAGAGTCCAGACAGCCTATAACAAGCTGTCTGTATAAACACACACACATAAGCACGCTCTCTCTCTCTCTCTCTCTCTCTCACACACACACACACACACACACACACACAAACACAAACACACACAAACAGCAGCACAAAGGTCTCTCTCTCTCATTCGCGGCACACACAGCAACAAAGCAACACTCATGTGAGGCAAAAGCGCTCGCACTTTACAGCTGCACCTAGTTAAGATCAAACTCACAGGGAGCTTCTGTGACCTCGAGAAATGCAAACGGTTTAAGGTTTAAGGTAGACGCAATGAAAAGTACACTAGTTTGCAAACCTACCGAATGCTGATCTTGTGTTGAGCCCAATGAGCCTTAAATCTAAAAATAGAGCAAGGGTGTTCCCCAAGTGACAACGCTTTGACTCACACGCTGAAAATGGCGGACGTGAAACAACAAACTGAGGGTATGGTGACACGCGTCTGTCAATCAATATTGGTGGGCGGGGGGACCGCGCTTCTACGTAAAGTTACGGTCGATCCAACGCTCCAATTGGTCCACCGTTTTTATGTTGTTAAATTGAAAAAAAAGGACTGCGTGTGTTTATATCACCCCATTATACACTATATTTATACACATGTCTGTCCAGACAACTTGAAAAGTAGATTTTTCACCATAGGTGCCCTTTAAATTCATTAGCTCAACAGTCTTTATTTTAATGCGTTCAGACGTATCCTTAATTCCTGTCGGGAAGAGAGCATCGTGGGCCGTCAAATGAGACGGTTTTCCATGAAGCAGCTCTTTTAGGGGGTTAAAGAGCCATTAGAATGAGACGTGTTCCTGTGGCTCTACGTGACAGCAGTAAGATGAAGCGCTGATGAGTCATTTCCTCTCCACTCGAGGTTTTTTTATTAGACCCAGCTGAGAACATGAGAACTGCAGTCTAACAGCCAATAAGAGTGAACTGGAGAAAGCCCATCAGAGACGCATCCATAACGAGTTCAGAAAAACTGACTGCTACTTACTAGACACTCCGCTTATCCAGGGAAAATTAACCACTGGGATGTTATGGTGGTTCTGGGGGTTGCTATGGTGTTTTGGGTGGCTGTTTACACCAATAAAGAACTCTATGGAAATATATGCAAATTACATGTATGATATACAAGTTCACATTTGGTTTTCTTATTTATAAAATGTGTCATTTGCATAGTTTGTTTCGAAATATTGCCAAAATCATATATATATATATCAGCTTGCCTAATACCAGGTGTTTAATTAGCGACATGGCTGCAGCCAGTGATGAAGCCGAAGCCGTCACATCAAGCATTGCCAGCACTGATGACCATCCATGGCCTTATCTGAAAGAAATGTTTTCATTTGGCGCAATATAGAATGGCTCTTACAGGATGCAGTGTCTACTTTATTTGCCACTAACCACAAAAATAAGAGCTTTTAAGAATTTATTGTCAAATTTGAGAAAACACATTGAAGTAAGAGTTTATTTAATGCTAATTTAATTTGAATTTAGTCAAATTATGTCTGACTTTACGATGGTAGAGTAAGCACAATGTTACCAAAAGTTAATACAGTTACTGATATGGCAAAAACCACTGCGACATGACTGTTTTAGTTTAATTTTTTTTTTGTGCAACATGAATAAATGTATCACTGAAATTATACATTGTGCATCAGGTGCATTTAGCTGTGAGTTTGTGATGTATTTTACATTGAATATATATGTAGTTTAAAAAGTTAAAATAACACTGATCCTCTTTGTTTAATTTTAATACAGAGAAAACATCCGAATTGAAAAACTACTCGAAATAAAAGTATTGCCACCCTCTGAGACTGACAGGTGAATCACATGAAAGTCAGCTCTGATTTGTTTTACGTTTTCCTTTTTTTTTGAAAAATTGTTTGTCCCTTTTATGCACATTTGACTTTTTGTTCTATTTTTTAGTAAATAAAACCTTTCTTGGTATTTTTTGAGCCTACATTCAGTATGAGTAAAATACCTAAGTTGTTTTAAAATCGGATACTTTAATACTTTTACTCAAGTCTTATTGGAAATGGTGACTTGAAACTTGTAATGGAGTCATTTTAACAGTAAGGTATCTGTACTTTTACTCAAGTATGGTTTTCAGGTACTTTTTACACCTCTGAGATGTGGATCAAACAGCTGGTACCCTCAGTTGTGTCCAGGCCAGTTTCATTAGTTCAATAATATTCATTCATTCATTTTCTTGTCGGCTTAGTCCCTTTATTAATCTAGGGTCGCCACAGCGGAAGTAAACACACTGCTGACCTTAAACCTACTCATACCACCAAACCTGTTCGTAACCCAACCCCTATCCCAACTCAAGAGTACCACAAGCGTTCTCAAATACATTATGAACACAGTAAGTACATTGTATTTATTTTTTTTAAGGCAAGTACATAATAGTTAAGGACACTAAATATAAAGTGGGACCTTTTTTGTTTATGCAAAGAATGTAAAAGCATTGCAATTTTTGGCTGTTCTGCATTCGTCTGAGGTAATTAGTCTACTGGTATTATTGTGTGAAGTATAGTGTGAAGCTTATTGGTTGGTTCTTATCACATGACTCATAGTGCATTTGTGGCATTTTGTAAAGTTGAGATGTTTTCAATTTACTGCGCTGTAGCTGCACCTGCACCTGGAAAAACTACTCATGATCATTTAAAAAGAGCGGATGTGTGAACGGCCCCCAACATAGGTGGAGATAGTGCATCTGATCATTTAGTAACAATCTATGATTTAATATGCATTTAGTAATTTGAAAAAACATCCATCTACTATTATGAGCAATATAAATAGCAACTCATGCCAGAAGTACTACGTATGCGTGCATACTCCCACAGAGACACACCGACACACACATAAAGCAGTGTAAGGATATGAGTGAGCTCCTTGTCATTGTTGTCTATGGCTGTCTGAAGCTGCTCTTCCAGGTAATGCAGTCGGTAACTGATGAGTTCACAGCGGTCCGTCAGCTCTGTTGTTTCTCCACACAGATTCTGAGACACACACAAACACGCATACAAAATCAGCAAGGCATCATTATACACATACATTGCTCACAACCACCTATTGCTGACCAAGTGTGGTACTAATGTTTGGCCTATGGCTGTTAGCACAAATACAGCATCATATATATATATATATATATATATATATATATATATATATATATATATATATATATATATATATATATATATATATATATATATATATATACACACACACACACACACACATATATATATATACACACACACACATATATATATATATATATATATATATATATATATATATATATATATATATATATATATATATATATGTAACCCCGCTGGTCCTACACCACCCAACCCGCTCCGAGCTGGTATCGAACCGGCGACCTTTCGCATGGGAGTCGGTTGCTCTATCGAGGAGGCTTAAAACCAAGGCCTCTAGCATCTGTCGCTAGAGCACCTTTAGAGGTCAGAGGAGTGAGGTTTACCTGCACAGCACACACTAGCTGGCCTCCGTTACATATATATATATATATATACACATTTTTTTTATTTTATTTTTTTCACACTGTAAAAAAATGCACTGCAAATGTGCTTATGGCGCGACTTAACTGGCTTTTAAAGGGAATGGGAGATGAGACTCTGATTGGTTTATTCACAAAACACCTATAACTCATTAAAATATTAATTAATTTAATTAATTAACACTGAATGTGTGTTGTTGTTGTTGTTGTTATTATTACTGGGGTTATGTTTAAGAGTAGAGTAATATGCTGGTGTTTTACTGCATTGCTTTAATGCATTCCTGCATTGGCCTCACATACTCGACCAAATCACAGCAGACTGGGTCATTGGACCAATCAGCGCAGATTAGTTTTAAGCAAAGGAGGGGTTTGGGAACAAATGAATCACTGAACAAATCATATGGGAGTCGCTGGGATAGTTAGCTCAAATAAATGCATATTATAAGACATAAAAAGTGTTTTTTGACCTTGCATGCATATCAGCCTGTTGTTGGAGACCCCCAAAGCCAAAATATGACCCTTTATAGTGCAAAATAGGGGCTCTTTAATATAGAACATAAATCGTAAATCCTTCACCAGTGATGTATCAAATGATAATTTTGTAACTAACAATTTAGTCTTCATCTGTCTGTTTGTGTCAGCTGGAGTCCTGCACTGACGGTGTTTATTTACGTCATCAATGCTCAAACAGTCGAGTGCGAGTCAGGTAAGTGGGACAGGTCCGTGCGGTCGGCTCCGTCCCAATTCCATCAACCGTGATTCACAGTTTTCCTCCAGAGCAGCTCGACTGATTCACGTCCACTATTTCTCTCCGGAACGGCACTAATGAGGCCTGTAGTCTATTCTTAGAGCTAATGAAACACCTTTTATAGACGCAAACATCACACAGAGGGCAAATTAAAGCAGTTGTGAATGAGGCTGGAGTCTCGGGAGACACATTCGAGAACAACAGCAGCAGAAAACGCTCTCTGAAATACAGTTGTACAGATTTCTAGTGGAAAAATCACAGTGAGTGCTTGTCCTTAAAGGTTAATGTGTTCACTTTACTGCATCTGAAAGGACAAGCTACTGAATGTAAAGTCATGTGCAAAAGTTTGGACGCCCTATTGAATTTTATTGTTAGGACGTTATAAATACTCATCAATTTTCGCAAAGATTTTGGCAACACTTATTTTTTATTTTCAGGTCTAATAAATTCAAACTCAAAGCTAAAACAATTAAATAAATTCTTCTATTAACAAAGCATTAACTATGACTTTCAGCTCAATAAAATCCTAATTTATTGCTTGTTTATTGCTATTAAGGAATTTGTTAGGTGTACGTATTGGGATTAGAGATGTAGAATAAAATCATGCAGAATTAGTACCTAAAGTGTTATAGATTTTTATACTTCTTTAGTTAATTGCATTGCTTTATTTTACATTATTTGAATTAAAATTAAATACAAAACATAAACATAAAAAAACATGTATACATTAACATTTTTAATTCAAATAAACTATGTAAAAATCCTAAATTAATAATCAATAAATAAATTAAAAAGGATTGATTAATTAAACATTAAATTAAAAATTATTATTTGGAAATACATATGCTGAAAATAAAACAATTAAAAATAATAAAATAAATAAATAAATGAAAAACTATTCATTGGAAATATATGCATATGCTGAAATTATGTGACAGAATATAAAATAAATATAAAAACACATGCAGAGATTAACATTTCAATTCAAATAAAGCTAAACGGTTTTAAAATACTAAATAATAAATAAATAAATAAATAAATAAATAATAAAACAAATAAATAAATAAATAAATAAATAAATAAATAAATAAATGAATGAATGAATAAAACTATTAATTGGAAATGCATATGCTAAAATTATGTGACAGTCTGGGACTATTGCATTTAATTATTTTACAAAAGAATTAGATATAAAAATAAAAAAACATGCTGACATTTACATTTTAATTGCAAATTAAACCATGTAAAAATCCAAAATTAATAAATAAATTAATAATGTTTGATTGATTAAACATTAAATGGAAAACTATTAATTGGAAATGCATTTGCTGAAATAAAAAAAATTAAATAAATAAATAAATAAACTGTTCATTGGAAATATATACATATGCTGAAATTATGTAACAGACTAGGAATGCATTTCATTTAATTATTTTACTATAAAATTTAAAAAAATATATATATATATATAAAAATAAAAAACATTTACATTTTTAATTCAAAAAAGCTAAAACTATTTAATATCCTAATAAATAAAAATAAATAAATAAATGAAAGAATGAAAAAAAAACTATTAATTAAAAACGCATATGCTGAACTTATGCGATAGGCTGGGACTGTATTTAATTATTGTAATAACTCTATTTATATTATTTTACTATAAAATAACATGAAAAATAAATGTAAAAAAATAAAATTAAAATAAAAACCATGTAGATATTAATATTTTAATTATAATCAAAAATTATTTAAAAATACAAAATAATGAATGTATGAATGAAAACTATTAATTGGAAACGCATGAAATGATGGTCAGTGGCTTTTTATCACATTTAATTATTTTACTATAAAATAAAATGTAAATAAATAAAAAAATAAAAACGTTAACATTTTAAATTCAAATAAAGCTAAAACTATTTTAAAATCCTAAATAATAAACAAACAAACAAATAAATAAATGTATTAATTAATTCAAATAATAATACATTTTAAAAATCTTTAATTGGAAATGCATGTGCTGAAATTATATGTCAGACTGGGACTTTATTGCATTCACATAAATCCTAAATAAATAAATCAGTAAATAAATAAATAACTTTTCATTTAAAACGCATATGCTGAAATTATGCGAGAGACTTGGAATGTAAATGAACAACTGTATTAATTTATGAATTAATAAATGAATTATTTGTTTGACAGACTGATACTGTAGTATATTAGTATGAAGAGGAGGTTGTGTATAAACCAGACTCACCTCTGGAGCCTCGTCCTCCAAACAGAAGAGAAACTCCTCCAATTTCTGTAAGAGACGAATGATGAATGATTCACTATCGCAGAAGATTAAAACAAAACAATAAAGCACATCTATTATTAAAAAGCACTCAGCGCACCGACATAACTCGTCATTACGGCTGACAAGAAGAAAAATAAGCTAGCGTTCGGCCCATCTGTGCGTGTTATGATTGCATTCAGGAGTCGTGTGCTAGAGCAGAGAATAATTAGCAGTCGCTGGCAAAAATATTAGTTCACTAAAGCACATTACAGCTTCATTTCTCATGGATTTGGATTTTAATGACACAATATTAATTATCATCTCCTGTGGGCAATATTAAAGGGGCTGAGGTTCAGGCAAGACCACCGCCTCTTTTATTAGACTCTGTTTAAAATCACATTTAGCTTGTCAAAATGTCAGTGTTATATAGTTAAGCGCAATACATTCATGAAAAACAGAGTTGCATGCAACAATGTGGAGTATTAAAAAGAATACTAGTATATGTACTGTAAATGTTTATAAAGGTGCAAATAATCATGTAAATAAAAGACAAATGTTATTGATAATAATATATAAAACATTATAATAATTTTAAAATTATAATTAATGTAATAAAAATTATTACAGTTGATAATAGTGAACACTGACAGAAATAATAAGAACACTAAAATATTTTCTATTATTATTAAAATTAATTTTAATAAAATGTTTTTTTTATTATAAATTTTTTTAATTTTTTATTTATTTACAGAATATTTTTTACAGTAATAGAGTAAATTTACAGTAATGAAATGTAATGTAATGTGTTTATCGTGTATGGCCATACACCCAAAGCACTTCACAATCATGAGAGTGTGGTTTCCTCACTCCACCACCAATTCAACTAAATTCAAATCATGTTTATTTATATAGCGCTTTTCACAATATGAATAGTGTCAAAGCAGCTTAACATAGTTGTAATAAAGTCCAGTTTTCAGAGTTGAAGAATATATTATTTTATTATTTTATACTTTACTATTTTTCAAGTTAATATAATAAAAGTGATTAAATAATAATAAATACTATTTTAATAAAAGTAACAAAAGTATGATCCATTACACACACACACACACACACACATATATACATATACATATACACACACACATTATTTTTGTTAAATATTATTGTAATATATAATAAAACATTTATTATTATTATTTTTATGTGTACACAGCTATAAATTATATCATTTATTATTATTATTATTATTATTATTATTATTATTATTACTATGCAGGTATTGTATTATAATATTATTACTTTTGAAGTAAGTGTGGGTTAATAAAAAAATAAAAAATAATAATAATGATAATAATAATAATAATAATAATAATAATAATAATAATAATAATAATAATAATATAAACTATACTTTAGTTTAAACACTTTAAAAGTGTGGGTGTCCAATGGAACTAATAATAATAATAATAATAATATATAAATAAATAAATAAAATAAACATTTTCTAATATTATTTAATATAATAACCTGAAACAACAACACATTTATTATTTTTGGGTTATATAAGATTTATTATATTTAATTATTTTATTCATTCATTCATTTTCTTTTCGGCTTTGTCCCTTTATTAATCTGGGGTCGCCACAGTGGAATGAACCGCCAACTTATCCACCATATGTTTTACGCAGCGGATGCCCTTCCAGCTGCAACCCATCTCTGGGCAACGTCCATACACACTCACAATCATACACTACAGACAATTAAGCCTACCCAATTCACCTGTACCGCATGTCTTTGGACTGTGGGGGAAACCGGAGCACCCGGAGGAAACGCAGGTAGAACATGCAAACTCCACACAGAAACACCAACTGACCCAGCTGAGGTTCGAACTAGTGACCTTCTTGCTATGAGGCGACAGCACTACTTACTGTGCCACTGCGTCACCTCAATTATATTATATTATATTATATTAAACATAAAAGTGTTTAATACTACACTCCACACACTACAGCAGACGCAAACACACTACAGCAGACGCAAACACACTACAGCAGACACACACTACAGCAGACGCAAACACACTACAGCAGACGCAAACTCACTACAGCACACACAAACACACACCACAGCAGACGCACACACTACAGCAGACACACACACAGTACAGTAAGTGATATAAGATTAGCACAGCAGTGAGTGAGTGAAAAGCATCCGCTCACCTTCAGTCCTTCAGGATCTTCAGCACACAACAGACAACAGCAGACAAGCAACACACAGCCATGCACAAACACACAATACAACAACACACAGCCATGCACAAACACACAACAAAGGCCTACAGAGCTGACGGCAAAAACCAACAGCACAAACAGGAAGAGCAGGAGAAAAGAGGGAAGATTAGAGTCATTCAGCAAATGAAGAGGTTTAATGGAAATGAAGGGAGCAGAAGAAGAAGGGTTACTATTGAAAAATATCTAGTAAAATATTATGCGCTGTCATCATGGCGAAGATAAAACAAATCAGAAACTAGTTATTAAAACTTTTATGTTTAGAAATGTGTTGAAGGAATACTCCACCCGTTAAACAGAGATTGGAACAAAATATACAGAGGGGGCTAATACGTTTGACTGTAACTGAATACTGCATTGCACATTTGTAATATTTCGATAATTCTGTGGTAATATATGGTGTAGAGTTTTTACCTTTGTGAACTGAGAGTGCTGTAGATCAGCTTCGGGACACCAGCGTCCCCCTAAAGCAGTCAACATGGCGCAGTCCTCTTCATCTTTAGTGAACTGCAGGACATCTGAAGCAGATGCGGATCCTGAGGGAAGATCCTCCGTCTGGGAGAGGCTGAGGTTTCTCTGATCCAGGCCTTTCAGGAGGAGATGACAGGCCTCCAAATCAGCCTCCAAAACATGTTCCAGCGCTGCACTTCCACAGCTATGAAAAAACAAGACACGCTTTTACAGCTGAAATCCTAATTTCTGTTTAACAGTCACAGTAATCTTTTCAACGCATTTCTAAACAAAATAGATTTAATAACTCATTTCTAATAACTGATTTATTTTATCTTTGTCATGATGACAGTAAATGATATTGGACTAGATATTCTTCAAGACACTAGTTTTCAGCTTAAAGTGACATTTAAAGGCTTAACTATGTTAATTAGGGTAAAGTTATGCTAATTGGGCAAGCCTTTGTATAGCAGTGGCTTGTTCTGGAGACATTCCAAAACAAATACTGCTTAAGGGGGCTAATAATATAGACCTTAAAATGGATTTAAAACAATTTAATACTGCTTTTATTCTAGCTGAAATACAACAAATAAGACTTTCTCCAGAAGAAAAAATATTATCAGACGTACTGTGAAAAATTCCTGAATCTGTTCAACATCATTTGGGAAATTTCTGAAAAAGAAATTCACTGGAGGGCGAATAATATTGACTTCAACTGTACATTTACATCGGCTTTCAGGTTTTCTCATTATATGCATTCAGATTAAAACACTTTTAACTATCCTGTTGTGTTATAATTCTCTAAAACAAATCATTTGTTTACAGTATATTAAAATCATTCTTTTATTCAAGGATGCGAGAAGTGAGAATAGCCCCTTTCACACAGTGAGACCGGTAAATATATGGAAAATATCTGGAACGACTTTACCGGTTAATTCAAAAAAGCGCTGTTCACACAGGCGAGGACGTTACGGAATTATTCCGGAAAAGAGCATTCACACATCCACTCCAAAATACCGGTAAATTCTGACATCATTAACCAGAAATGAGCTCTAAACGGCTGCGCTTGTATTTGTAAACATTTGACTACATTACAAACTCTGTGGAAGGATCAGTGTTGTGAACAACTTTAATGAACACATATAGAGAAACACTTTCGCATGTCGAGATGTACATGATATGTGTGTGTGCTGGCTGCTTCACAAGCAACTGAAGGATGCAGAGCTTGAAGGTAAACCGACAACAGCTTATCATAAGTATCTTATCGATAATTATTTACACAGTGAGCATTAAGATGAACATATAAGCGTTATCTGACTAACATCCAGCAGCTAAATGTGTCTGGAACAATATTTACAGGCTTTTATTCTCACAAACAGTGCGGACGTGAATGCGTCTGAGTGTTCTGATTGGCTAAAGTAGACGTCTTATGTCAGCGCATTCTAGACGTGTACGCGCCCTATCCGGCAATCTTCCTTCTGCGTTCACACAGCGCAGCTTTCCGGCGAATCACTGCTAATGTTACAACTTCACTATCCGGAAAAGAGCCAGATTGTATTTACCGGTATTCTCAAAAAGGGCCTGTTCACACATACCATAATTGCTGGTAATTTTCCCGAAAGGTATGTATGTGTGAAAGGGGCTAATAAAGATATTATTGTTTTTTTTTTTAAATATTTAATAAAATATTTAATTTTAAATAAATTAGATATTTTATTTGATTACTGATTGATGATACTGCACTTATTTACTATCGATTTTTTAACAATTCAAACATTTAAAGCAAGACAAACATTGTAATAGTCAGAAACGTTTTTGAAAATATTTCTTGAAAATCAAGTGACATTTAAACATCAACGCTGATGCTAAAATGCAACTTTATTATTAAGGAATAGTAATTTAGTTAAGCCAAGTCAAGATATTTTTTTTCTAATGCTGTATAAAAGCAACAGTTGTGACAAATAAAAAAAACAGTACATTAAATAAATAAAAGCATAAAGCAAATTTAATTAAATTAGTCATTAGTAATGCAGGTACTGTATAGACCAGGGATCACCAAACTTGTTCCTGGAGCTCCGGTGTCCTGAAGATTTTAGCTCCAACCCTAATTAAACACACCTGAACAAGCTAATCAAGTTCTTACTAGGTATACTTGAAACACCCAGGCAGGTGTGTTGAGGCAAGTCGGAGCTAAACCCTGCAGGGCACCAGACTTCCATGAACAAGATTGGTCACCCGTGGTATAGACCAGGGGTTCTCAACTGGTTTGGCCATGGGACCCACTTTTTTACATGGTCATCAAGCCGCAACCCAAATATTTAGGAACTATAATACAATTTTAGGAATAATTATTCACTTGTATTTATTTCTTTACATACACAAGTAGTGACAGATAAATCATAAGGAAATCACCAAGACTTACAAATAAACTATATTTTTTTTGCTGTCATTTAACAAAATGGATCAAATTACAGAGTAAAAGTGACAAATACTGTGAACAGTGGTTAAGGTAAGGAAAGGTTCAGTTACCATGAACTAAACTGTTAATAAAACATGCTGTCTAGTTTCTAAATGTCTTTTTAATTTAAAAGGTTTCGTGCTCTCTTGTGAGAGCACCTCACTAATTATGACACACTGAAGTCTTTTTTTTGTAGTCAATATATGTAAATTAATACTTTACATATTCGGGGTCGTACTTGCGCTTTGACATATTTGTTGCTATAATTAAATGAAATTTCACATGTCAAACGGTACGGTTGTCATGCACGCATTTCAAAATATAAGTCAAAATAAGTTAAAAATTAAACTTTTTGTTGTTTTTTTGACCACACACTTCATGACCCACTGAAAATGTTCCCGCGACCCACCAGTTCAGAAACACTGGTGTAGACCATTTCAATGTGGTGACGTCATTGGCCCATGAACATTTCCCGCTTGTTATCCCACTTATTTCATCACTCTAACAAGAGGCCATTCAAACATATCTTAATGTTAAAACCGCTATCCTAACTATTTTTATTTATCAATATTATTTTTCAATATGTGGACCTTTTTGGATTCTCGAAAGCTATATAAATTAAAGATGTAAAACAGGAAACACGTTGGGACCATTGCTTTTGTTCACATCCCTCAAAATGGTCTAAAAAATAATAATAATAACAATAACAATAATAATACAAAAAAGACAAAGTATCATAGACTGTATTAGCTTCAGTTTGATGTTTAACTATAAAGCCACCTAATCCCTTTGCTGTCTCGTACAGTCCATCAATCTCTTCACATTCAGTGAGAGCGCACGAGGACGATAATTGCAGTCTTGACACTCAATGTCTCCAGAGACTGACAGCTTCTTAAAGCGATAAAAGACAACACTGTACTCCTCAGAAATGTGTCATGTTGCTCTGCTCCTCCTGCAGGCTTCATTTAGCTTCACAAACCAACAGAGATTCATTCACGTGTTTGTGTTTGATTTTATACATCATGAAGAAAGGTGAAGCTCCAGGCTCCGGGCCTACACAGCTCTCTTTGCAACTGAATCCTGGACTTCCTGTCAAGCAGACACCAGGTGGTCAGAATGAACAACATTACCTCATCTACACTGACCACTGGTGCTCCACAGGGCTGTGTTCTCAGCCCACTCCTGTACTCCCTGTACACACATGACTGTACAGCCAAACACAGCTCCAACGTCATCGTTAAATTTGCTGATGACATAACGGTGGTGGGCCTAATCACAGATAAAGATGAGACGGCCTACAGAGAGGAGGCGCACACTCTGACGCAGTGGTGTGAGGAAAACCACCTCTCACTCAACATCAGCAAAACCAAGGAGCCGGTGATGTATTTCAGGAGAGAGAAGAGAGAACACACCCCCATCACCATCAACGGGACGCCAGTGGAGAGAGTCAGCACTTTCAAGTCTCTTGGAGGCCACATCGCTGAGGATTTGACATGGACGGCTCACACAGACACAGTGCTAAGGAAGGCACAACAACGCCTCTTCTTCCTCAGGCGTCTCAGGAGGTTTGGAATGAGCCCCCACATCCTCCACTCGTTCTACACCTGCAATGTGGAGAGCATCCAGTCTGGCTGCATCACCACCTGGTATGGAAACAGCACCAGCAGCAATGGCAAAGGCCTACATAGGATTGTGCGAACTGCTAGAGGAGGTGAGCTTCCCTCCCTCCAGGACATCTACACCAGGCGGTGCATGAGGAAAGCCAAGAGAATAATCAGCGACTCCAGCCGCCCAAGCCATAGAATTTTCTCTCTGCTACCCTCAGGCAGACGGTTCCGCAGCATCCGGTCACGCACCAGCCGACTGAAGGAAAGCTTCTTCCCTCAGACTATCAGGCTGATGAACACTTAACACACCCCACACAGACTCTTCCATACCCCTCACTTCACATCATCAATATGTAGCATGCACTGCACTTTAACCAATCCATACCTGAAACAATACTGCCTACAACTATGGGTACACCTATTCACTGTACATATCGCTGTCAACACTGCCAATTTTACATTCTCCTGTATTTTTTGTGAGTATGCTGTTGTATGTTGTTGTATTTTGCACTGTCTGGAGCCAGCACCTAGGCTTTTCACTCATCCACAGTACACGTGCTGCTGATCAAGTGTGACATTAAAAGTGATTTGATTTAATTTGAAGATCAAATAAATGTGCATGCAGTAGCTCTGCTTGATGCATGACTGCATGAATCTTAACATGTAGATTATTAACATATTAATAAATAAAAGTAGATGCATGTATATGTATAGGACAAAATTGTGAATTATAATAGAGCTTCACATTCAATTGTTGCTATAATTATGGATTTCAATCAACGTTTGAATCTTAGAATACTGCGCAGATGTTGCAATCTATTAGAATTTAATGTTAGAATGTCGCTAAAATGTACATATTCCAATAGAATTTGATGTTAGAATATTGCTAAATTGACATATTCTAATAGAAGTCGATGTTAGAATGTTGCTAAAACTACATATTCCAATAGAATTTAATGTTTGCGTAGGATTTGATGTTAAAATGTTGCTAAATTGACAAATTCTAATAGAATTTCCCATTAGAATGTTCCTCAATCGTTGCATTCTAATAGATTCAATGTTGGAATATAGCTACATTTACATATTCTAACAGAATTTGACGTTAGATTTGATGATGTTAATGCTAACTAAATTATGAAT